ATTTTTTTTATGTAACATAATAAATGCATGACTTTCTATGGGGGCGAAAAATCGATTACTATTATTATTACTATGAACTTTAAAAAATTTGCCCGGATCGGCATTAATTAAATCCTTTCCTTAACTGGTGGATCACGAATTATTTATTAAAGAAGGATTTCGTAGTAAAACAATTAATCCAAAGATTAAAAAAAGTCATAGATTTCTAATCATTGATATGATTTATTATATGCACGTCATCAGCACCAACGGAAAGAAAAGATCAAACTAAAGAAGCAAGATAGCAAATTAAAAGAAGATGTCATGCAAATAGCCGTCAAAATGAGGCAAAGGAATCAATTGTTTAGCCCTTTTGGATAAGTAATTGATTAAAATATTCTCATTTCTATTTTCAATTGGTATGCTATAGTGAATACCTGGTTGTACTTTATATAATTAATTGGATATCATTCAGATAGGTTTATATGGTTATCAGTATTCTGGCTAATATTAGCTTACCATAAGTTATATATTTCTCTTTATCTATTTTATTTATAGTGAATGCAAACTGATTTTATAATAATTGCAAATTGATTTATTTTCAGATAATAATAATAATCCAACATAAAATGATTTTAGTCATATTCACCTTCATCTTCAGAACTCTCTTCGGAACTTATCCGATTAGACTTAAAATTTCTGTTTGATTATCAATTAGTTACTATTACCAAATGATGCCATGAATTGACACCAATCAACATGTTACAAAAACCTATCTATTATATAAATAAATATCAATCATTTATCAAAATTTGGTGGTTTAATTTGATTTGGCATCGTTCTACTATTAATTACTATGAAAGAAAACAATAAATTAGCCCTGGTTCTCAATGTTGCATCAGGACGAATGGGTTATATAGAAATTATTGGTAATGATGGCTGTGAATTAATTACATTTGATAGAGGTAGAAGAAGAAAAGGTGTAATTTTCCAAAATAGAGAACTGGGGGAACTAGTCGTTAATGATAATAATAACTTCTCTGCATAAGATTTTATTTTGTCAACAGTGATAGATGTGATATCATTGTTATAACCAATCATTTAAACTCTTAATTAAATGATATCTTTTTTATTTGTGGACATAAATATATATACATTTAATTCGTGATTTTGATAGAAGTAGATACTGTGCTACATTTTCTGAAATCTAGAGAGTTGCTAAGTAGCAAGTGAAAATTTTTTGTAAAAAATATATCGTATTCAATATTCTGTGTAATATTTATCATGTGTGCTGGTAAAAACAATTTGGAAGTTGGTCAATTGTAACTATTTAATTAATAGTGACAATCCCCCCCACAATTTACTATACAGGGCATACTGCAACAAAACCAAAGTGATATTTAGTGTCAAAAAATTTCAAGGGTACATATTTTAGCATATTTAATTATCTAATCTATTCTTTTATTTCGGAAAATAATAAAGCAATAACATAAATAACATAACACTTGGTAACTAACATAGTGATATCATTACTAACATGAGAATTATATAATAATTATTAAAATGCGCATTTTCAAATATTTTTTTGTGAACACAAAGCATTAACCTCATTTTCTTTTTGGTGTAAGATAAGTTTTCATAATATAATCAACTTTGAAATGTTTAGGTTTTACAGTTATTCCCGAATGGAGTATCCTTGTAATCTTATTATACACATAGTTAGCTTTTTTGATGATATTATCCTATTATCAAATGAACCCTTATTAGCATCTACATTGTTGAACATATAAGAAAACCAAAAGGTTACTTCCTTACCTTAAAAAAATAAAGTACTTTGAGTGCATTCCTTAATTCCTTAATATTAATTAATTGTGCAGGAAATCTAAATATGGGCCCATCGAAACCAAAATATAATCCTCTATCAAGTAGATCAATTCCAAAAAGTTGTCCATGTAAACCTAAAACAATAATAGGAGTTATGAGCTATATACAATTTGTCATTTTAAATGACATCTGGTAAACTTACCTTCTAATTGCAATCCAAAAAATGTAGAATCTTTTACAGCCTCCTCAGGAAGATCATGCATAAGGTATTGATTCAAAATACATTTATTTGTTCTTAAACACTTGCCTCTATCTTTTATTATTTTTATTGTTGTTGCAGCACATGCACACTCCGAATGTGGCAATTCTATACCATCAACAGTTAACACTCTTAAATCAATTTTACAACTTGTGGTGGCTTTGGAAACTGTTTCGCCCCTACAACCATTCATAAACAACAAATCAGACACAATTGAGAACTATTTCAAAGTTAACAAAAATTACTCACAATTATTTAAAGACCATCCCTGTTTATCATGTCTACCACTACTACCATTCTTTTAAAAATAACTAGAGTGATGCTGAGTGGCAATAACCACCATTCTTACAATAAACACTTACTCAGGTCTTGTTGCTTCCACAACATTGTTTATTTTTCTTCTTTTTCTATATATCTCTATTTTTATCATCTGGCATTTTTTTATAAAACACATGTATGGTTGGATGATTGTTTTTTTTTGGAAAAACAATTTATTTTTTAAGGGTAGGGGAAATCATGTGATAAATCAATAGTAAATCATGGATCAAAAAAATTTTTTATTGGTTTCAATGTTGATCATCACAAAATGTCCAATAAGTTTTCCTATTACTATGATAATAATAAATTTTAAGTATTTTAAATGTGAAATGAATATTTGTTACTAAGGGATGAGTATATGTTAATATGGGATGAGTTCTTTTTAATATGGGATGAGTTTCTCTAATTAGGGATAAGTTTTGTTTTTTGAAGAATTTTAAAAGAAGATTTTATTCAAAAACACTTTCAATAACACAGCAGAATACACATATAGAATAACACAGGAGTTATTTGAATGCGTCTCATGTAGCTTCACCTTTAAGACAATTATTGATTTTGGAAAAGTCAAATCTTGATCCCTGGATTTTGTATTAAATTATCACATGATTCCCCCTACCCTTAATGACAAAACACAAGTGATGTTATTTTGCATTGTTTGGTTCTAAAAAGAGACATGTTAATAACTAACCAGAGGTAACTTTTTTTAATATGTCTTTTATTTTAATAAATGTTATAATTAAAATCAATATGGAGCAGATCTTGCTGGGTAATTATAAGATTCTCATTGATAGTAAATGATTGGTATTTGGCTTTTCATAATCAATATTATTATTATTATAATTACAAGAAAATATCAAGGCAGCACACTGTTGAAAAAGAAACAAATCAAATATGAAACATTTTGATACATGATGTTTGATTATCGGAAATTTGACAAGTGTTGAAGCACACATGCTACCTTGAACACTTTACAGTCATTCTCGTGTTCCTTGTGTACACAAGGCTAAACCAACCTGAGATCCCCAAGGATACAATGATGCAATTAAAATTCTTGGGGGGTGACAGTATGGCTCTGGAGCTGCATCAAAGCTGCATCAATTGTCAAGGACACTTCCACTAATCTTCCCTCACAGCACTTAGCTGACAAGTTGCCTGCAGTGATCCTACCTCTAGGGCAAGGATGGATCTGTAACTAAGCTGTCGCAACTCTGCAGATGAATTGTAGTGCCATGTAAACATCCAGATCCATCAAAGCAATGGAAAATTGCTGCAACTTGTTTCAAGCACAGGAGGTCATAATTCAGAGCAGGGTTGGTGACCCTAAAGAATAACTTTATAACAAATTAACTTAATAATAAGTTAATAATTAGTTTCAACTAAATGCAAAATTTAATAAATCATTTTTATCAAATAACTAAATCAAAATTATTTGCTAATAAATCTAATTCGTTAGTATTAGCCTATTCATTCTGATTCACATAAATTAATAAAAATCTGTTATCATCAATTAAAACATGCTCTCCCAACATTAATTGGTGACACTTCTAAATAAAATGTCTCCAAAAAGAGTAACTTTATCTAATTCTCAAAAATATGAATTTTGTTTATTCTAGTCAACAAATAAAACTAGTTAATTCACTTGATAGATATATTAGTTTGAAAACAATAAATACAATGAGGCAAACTACAATAGAATCAATAATTATATAAAATTTTTTTTAGTGATAATAATGTTATATTCTTTATTGGAGTCACGTGCAACCAATGAAATGCTAAGTACATGCTATCACTCATTCCCAAGAAGGTGCACTTAGAGGGGTTGACTGTATATTGAATATTTATCTATAACAATAACATTTTCTTTAACATGTTATTGATGCAAATAAACTATCATAAATATTTCATTTATTGTTCACTATTAAGTACTTTATTTATATTGTTTTGATTGGTACTATCTAATAAATACAAGCATAATAGAATTATCAGGTTGACTTTTCTTGTTTTGATTATTGATGAATTTAAATCTAAGCCATAATTATTTCATGGGACCAATTGACCAAATTTTTCAACTTCTCTTCATAAATTACTGAACAATCATATTTTTTAAATCATTTACTTGAAACTATTCCAGTGATTCATCTAAGTTTAATTCATTCATACTTCTCTTCAACTTTAAAACAATTATAAAAAAACCTACAAAGTGAACAT